GCTTCAGGCCCCCCCCAGGCTGCCCGAGGCACAGGTAGGTAGTAGGAGACACAGGAGAGGCAAGTTGTTTTTCATCACCCCCCCCACCCCCACCCCCCGATTTTTTGAGAGCTTGCCCATAAGTGGTTAGTTGCAGGGAGCCATAAGCCCCAGCTTACTTACCAGGAATAGGCACCCCGGTGTTGGTGGTCCCAGTTAGACTCTCTTGCCAGGTGCTTGGAGACTGAGATCCCTACCCCATGGCAGTAGAGGCAGCCCTGTTTTGGTGATGGGGCTGGTAAGGGTCCACAAGGTAGTTAACAGGCACCTCCAAATTCTCTGTAGAGCTCTGCTTGGCCGTCTTGTCCCTAGTGCCGTGTTATGTGGCCCGTTGTGTTTTCAGTCTTACCTCTTTCTTTCTTTCTCTGGCATGAATCTCTTACCTGGTGGGGGACTAATTCCACTTTTAGCAAACTGGAGGTCGTTGAGAGGACAGTGTGGGAGACTCATTGCAGATTCCTGTCTTGTTCCTGATGCGTGAATAATTGAAGGTTCTTGACTAATTTTGCCCGTGTCTGTCTTAGAGCTGCAAAAGTTAGTCACCCAAATACTTTCATAAGTTTGAACCTTAGTAGTAAATTGTTTTGTTTTACATGTATAGATCATTTGTTTTCCAGGGATTGTTCAGTAAGTCGCTTTTTCTTACCCGATCTTAACTAATCAGAAGTAGCATAGACCCATCTTTCTGGGTGGGGTGTATTCATTTTCCTCCCTGCTGATCAGTGAAAGCATGGTACACTTTCAGGCTAATTTACCTTACCTGCCTGGTACAGTATCTCACCAGTGTTTATCTTGCTACTACCTGTTCCAGCAAGTAGAGGACAAAGAATTAATTCAATACACAAGTATAAAAACTTCCTTGTAATTGGCAGCCAAACTGCCCACAGGCCATGCATCTTTTTTTTAAAAGCATGTCCTAAGCATGTAGCCTTGGAAACAGAGAAATATTTGACCCTGCCATACCTGTTACCATTAGTCTTTGTTAGGTATTACTTGTCTGCTAAGGAGAATTGTTTTTCTTTTAATCAGTTTTTTCTTGTGTTGGGTATTTGCAGCTAAAAAAACAAAATACAGAGGTGTGTGTTTTCTGAGAACTCCTCATGCCTATACCAGTAGTTTGGACTAGTTAGTATGTATATAGAGGTGGAATTAAAACTCCCAATGCTGGAAATTCTTCATTAAGTGAATATAATTCAGATTGCTCCTGCAGTACTTTTGGACATTCATCTGGGAGCAGAAAAAGAAGAAATACTGGAAGAGGAAAAGGAGAACAGGGGAAAAAGAACAGCCCTGGAATTGTTCAGGGCCTTGAAAGTGATGGGGTAATTTTTAAACTTGGTAGAGAGAAAAAAATAATGGTTTTGATGGGCAGGGGGACTGCATAAATGTAATACGCTTGTGGTACTTTTCTTTTGAGACAAGTTTTACATTGCTCTTCTACTTCAACATAACTATCTGCTTCATTCTGAAAAGCAAGCAATATATGTGAAAATACTACTGTCATCAGGAAGAATGCAAACAACTTAAAATGGTGATGCATGGTGACAGGCATGGCACAGACCCCTCAAATACAGGATAGTGTGTCATTGTAGAGGAGAATGATCAAGTCCTCCTCTTTTGGGTGCCTTCAGGAGAAAGAAATGGAAAATCATAGGTGAGGAAAAAATATCCATTCTTCATGGGCTTGTGTTTTGACAGCTTATTGAGCATCATTGCTTTGGAGTTGTAAATTGTGACTCTTAGAGCTATCTGAGGGGGGTACCAGAAGCTTGGTGTATTATTTTGAAATCTTTTACTGATGAAATGTCTGTGTTCTGTAAGGTAACAGTGGCTGAAACAGGCTGCAGTCATGTTGAGGGTCACTAAATCAGTATGTAGTTCTGATAAAGCTAAAATGTGGTGAGTTTGTGGAATTCACTTGCCAGCTGGAATCTTTGAGTGTCTAATTTAGGCCACAATCCTGAGCCTATCTGCGCAAGAGCAGACCGCTTTCACAAAGAAAGTTTTGACATAGTAAAGGAGGGTTAACTACACTCCTTTGGTTTTTGTGTTTCTCTTCTGTCCGTGCTCCTATTAACTGGTAATTTGGTCAGTCACAGCTGAAGGTGTGAAGATATTGGACGGTAGTCCTGTGTCTTGGTTGCCTGAATTCAGCCACTGCCATTTCAGCTCCATGATTTACAGAGGAAAAGAAATTACAGCAAATCTTGGGAAGGCAGCAAATAATGACTCAGGGAAAAGTACTGCATCAGGCACATTGACAGAATGCTTGTACAGACACAGGCAGACTGTGTTGAATGCCAAAACTTGAAAGCAGTGCTATATGAACACAAAGTCAGACTAGGATCTGCTGTTGAGTTTATCTTGTTCACCTTGATATTTGCAGTCTCCTGGGAAGAGTTAAGTGAGATTTTTTTTTTTTTAGTGGTTAATTGTTCATCCATGAACCTCCATGCAAGCTAAGACTCCATCTGTCATCTAGTTGGCTTCATGCTTTTGAGAGGGACTCAGGTCAGCAATTTGTCCAGGTAGAGATGAACAAATATTTCATTCAAATGACTATGGTAGAACCACTCTTGTTTATGTGAAAATTGAGGAGTGATTGCTCTTTAGAGGGAAAAGCATGCTTGTGAGAATTACCATCTCTCTGCTCAATGTAGGATTGCAAAGATAAATGGGTCTTCCTGTCCACAATGACCCGCAAACCTTTTCTTTATATCTCGAAGAAAAAGCAATGTATCAGTCTTAGAGGTGCACCAGTATATCGGTGGCATATCAGATCGGCACTGATAAAAAGAAAATTAACATTATTGGCAATCGGCTTTTTTTGGCCAGTGTAGTCAATAAAGTTGCCAATAAATGTCACGTGCATGTGCGCAGCAGGTTGTCCACTGCAGGTTTGGGGCCATAGGCTGTGTTGGCTTCCTCCTGGCAGGGGGGCTGTGCTTGGGGCAGGCAGGGATGAGGGAGGCAGCAGTGGTGCTGGGAGGGGTGGTTATTGGGTGGGCTATAGTCACCCCTCCCAGCGCTGCCACTGCCGCCTGGTGAACCCAAGCACAGACCGGCCCAGCCACCCCTGCCAGGAGGAGGCCAGTGCAGCCCCTGGCCCCAAGTCTGCAGTAGACAGTCTGCCCTTGCTGCGTGCATAAATCTGGTGGGGGCACATGCCCCCCGGACAAACGACCTGCAGCTCCGTCCTGCTCCCGGGGTTGCATACGCTGTCCTAACTGGGCATCCCCTACCCTGCTCCCTCCCTCACACCCCT